TTCCATCTGGGGCTCATGGGCTCCCACTGCCCTGGCCTTGCTCTTGCCGAGTGTGTCCATTAGCTTTGTTGAGTAGCAGACCACTCCAGAATGCAGCTGCAAGACCAGCGCCCTGCGAGGGTGGGGAGTGGCCAGTGTCACAGGGAGAAGGGCCCCAAGGTATGTGGAGGTGGGAGTCCCGGCCACTACAGAAGAGCGCTTCAGGACAGTAGAGGCACCTGCTGTAAGGAGGTGGGGGAGAGCACCAGGCTGCTACTGAGCCCTCCTTCCTCCCCAAATGCCACCCTCTCGGCACTGTGGAAGGGAGTCGTAGGGTGTTTGAGGAGGTCGCGGGCCACCTGGAGCACCATTCTGCCTCTTCCTGAGCTCACCCCACTTCTGCCATGTGGCACCATCGACCTTCCCACTCTGTCCATCACAGAAAACAGCTGGGCTCCCTGGGCGTGGTGGGCAGATTTCAACTGGCCTGGCAGGGTGGTGCTGGAGTGTTGTTGGGTCCACGGGACTCTGAGGCCCAGAGTCCTGGCATAAGGAAGTGCTGGGTCATCGAGCGTGATGTCCACCGTGAAGGCAGAAATAGAAAGGCAGGCGAGCTGTGCACACCCGGCTGCCTGAGTCTGAGTGAGACAAGGGGACCTCACAAGTCCCAGGCAGCCTGCACAACTGAGTGACACCCTCCGGAAATAAACAGGCTGGGCATGTGGCTCCATAGCAGAGCATCCCTGGTTCAACCCCCAGTGCGCAGAACAAGGCCGAGCGTGGGTTTGCTTGGCGTGGTGGGCAGAGGCTCTGCGGAGCCTTCAGAGGTGTCAAATGAGACTTGCAAGGGGAGGGAACCAGAGAAGAATCCGAGCACATGACAAATCTGAAGGTTACTGAGTCTCCAAAATTAGGCCTGGCTTTGGCGCTCTCCCAGATCACCCGAGAGGCTTGGCAGGGACCTCCCTGGAGCGCACCTCTCCCCAACATTGCAGGAAAGCGCACCTGGCGGGTGAGAGGGCCAGTGGCAAGCACAGGGACATAAAGCTGATTCTGATGGCAGTGGCAGTTCTGCCTTAAAACAGCACCACACCCAGCAACAAGTGCTGTTGCAAGTCGCCCCCAAGCTGCCCTGGGTCTTTGTGGTGAGGGGTGGGAGCAGGGGCAGCCTGGGTCACTTTCCAGCACCTGTGCTGTGGTTCACATCCCAGGTCTGGTGTTCGGAAGTCCCACAAAGTGGATAGATATGTCCGTGGGACAAGGGTAGGCCTCAGCTAGACAGCCAGGCCCCCTGCAACCTCCCTGTGCCAGGCTGCTCAGTGCCGAGTCCCAGGTGGAGCCTCTTTCCTGCCCGTGTATTGATCAGGCCCCGGCCTAGCCCGGTCCCGTGTCTGGTCTGTAGTGTGAAACCCAGGCCTCTGAATTTCCCCCTTGCCATCCCCAGCTCAGGGTCTATGGGGCCTTCAGAGGTCGGGGTGCTGTACCTCACCAAGGAGGGTAAGTCCTGTTTGGCTGGATTAGAAGAAGAGGCTGTTGAATTAAGGAGCCTTACAAAATTTAGGGGAAACTTTGCTTAGGATGTTGGGGGACATGATTGGGCCCATGAGCCATGAAGGCTTCTGTAGGGTAGAAGTGGGGCCACTCTGAAGGTGGCGCAAGGCTGCGGCTGTCTCTTCTCTCTACCTTATTGTTCGAGGGGCGGGGGCTGTACCAACTGCCTCCTGTCACCCAGGCTACCTCACAAGGCTTGGTGCTGGCAAAGCATTTAATCTATGACAGCTTCTTGCTGGGTACATAGCACTCTGGATGGTACTCTTGGTCTCGGGATCTTTGTAAGAGGTGTTTGAGCCTCCCTTCGTTTTCATGAATTCAACTGCTTTGGCTGCTCCTTTTCCCCTGTGGGGCCCTTGGGGCCCTTGGGTATGTCGCCAGCTTTGCCTTCACAGAACTGCAGCCTCCACTGCCATGTCAAACATTGCATTTGACCATTTTTTCCTTGCTATAATGAAACACCTGAGGCAGGCTAACTTTTTAAAGAAAAGATGCTTATTAAGCCTGAAAGTTTGGGAGGCTGAAAATCTACAGTGGGGCAGCCCCCTGGATCCAGCCTCTGGTGAAGACCAAACAGCAGATGGCATCACGGTGGAAGCATTTGCAAGAGCAGATGACAACATTGCAAAATAAGGAGCAGGAGAGGGAGGGGGCCGGGCTCACCCTCTTCATAACAACCTTCTGCAGAGAAGTAATGGATTCAGGCCCTTCCGGGGACTCTCCCTGGTGGACCTGTGGACCGCCTGCTGCCCCCAGCTCTTCACATGCCGCATTGAGGACCACACTGTTGGTGCAAAAAGGCTTCGGAGGTGCACTCGGAACATGTCCAGACCGGACCATGGAGGCTGCCTTGCCTTGGGGGTGAACCTGAGATTCTCAATCCCTAAAACAACAAAGTCATGTCCTGGGGGCAGGCTGGCTCTTAACCTGCAAAGGACAGATACCAATTCGAACCATTTTTTAATGCGGCATTTTCTTTTCACTTTAACTCGCACAGTGACCAAGAACACAGGCCAACAGGCCTCAGGAATACCGCAGGGTGCCCTGCCTGGAGTCGTACACTGTGCTTCCGGTGACGCAGGAAATGCAGGCAGGAGGATCAGAAGAAGAAAGGGCTGGGGTGTAGCCCCGAGCTAGAGCACCCCTGGGTTCAATCCCAGAACGTAAACACAACGCCCAACAGCACATGCATCATTGGGTGGCAGGATCCACCGCGGAGAGCACGTCCCATTTATCCTGAGTCCCACGCCAGACAGCTGAGTCTAGCCTGTCAGCCCATGTTCACTCTCCTAAAAGATGTTTTCTTTAATCCAACTATGGTGGCACCACAGCTCGATAGCCAGAAAGCCACCATTGTCCTCCATAGGGACGTTCGTGGGTGACTGGTCACTGTTCACAAACACCAGCGATGCTGTCTGCTGGTACCCTAAGTTCGTGTTAGTTACACACGACTTCAGCTCCAGCGGTTCCAGGCCTGAGGACGGGCAGCAGCTCCGCCTCGAGCTGCAGCACCGAGTGCTCCAAGAGTGTTCCTGAAGGGGAACGTGGACCGCCATTCGGAGGCCGGTAATTGACAACAGGGGAGTCGCTGGCCTCCCGTCCTGGGAAGGAAGGTGGTAAACCGCTGTTCGGCATGGAGGAGTGCCGGGCCTGTGGCCCCGCCTTGGCTTCATCATCCGGCTGGGAACAGGAGCAATGGCAGCATCATGAGGTCCTTGTCAGTGTTGGTGGTGTCGGTGGAAAAGGCTTAACAGCATCTAAGGACTGGGAGCCCTCGACCTGGTCCTGTTTTTAGACTCCTCATTGACCATGGTGCCTGGGACTCTCTTCCTCCAGATCCTTCTAGTGGTAGAGGGAACAGACCAGTCCCAGAGTCCTGGCGGGGATGTGTTCCGCTTGCTGTATTTGAACCTCACTCTGTCATGGGTCCATTACGTCCTAATATGTTAAAAATTGTTTGATTTGTGTAAAACATCAAAAAACGGGTAATACAAGAGGTCTGCTGGCTGGCAGCTTCTCTGGTACTACGCGAGGCCCTCTAGGACCCTTGTCTCGGCCTCTGGCAAGACTGAGACGGCAGGTAGGGGAGGAGACTGTATTGAACTCTGGGTTCCCCAGGGTGCAGTGGACAGGTTCTGTGGGTCAGAAACTATCCCTACGCTTTCCCTCGCCCTCTGTGCTGGCTCTTCTGTGGCCTCCTCAGCAGCCCTGCACCTGGCTTCTCGGTCCGCTCTGCCTCACGCAGGACCCAGGGCACCCCTCTGCTCCCACCCGCCACCTCTACTTAGCCTGAGGCTATGTCGGCACCAGAGAGCCCCTATGCTTCCCCGTTCCCTGCCTCATAATAAAGAACTTGCAGCTGGGGCCCAGGCATTGAACCTGGGTCAGGTAGCCCAAGGGTTGCAGGGAGCTGATCGCTAGGCAACCTGGAGTTTGTTACCTGGGTAACAGGTCTGCACTGACGCTGTGCATGGGCATCTTGAACGATGGTGCTCCGCCTCCCCAGATAGATCACATGACCCTGGGTCCTTGCCTTGTGCCTGGTGTCATTCTCCCCTGTGGCCCCTTTTTAATTAACAATTTGAACTTGTAATCATATACTCCGTCTGATAAACCGTCCTGCCAACGCCCTTGAAAGTCCGGCAAGGGAATGCTCACCCGCTTGGTCTGGACTCCTGCTCTGGCACCTGGGGGGACCTGGGATGTCCATCCTGTCTGCATATCTGGGAGTAATGGCCACATGTCAGAGAGCTGGCGCAGGCCTTGCAGCCACCCTGCTGAGGGTCTAGAAACCACTGCATTGGTCTGCACAGAAGGGCCCTGCCCCCAAAATGGTTCTGCTTGCTCTGTGACCCTTCAGGAAGTTTGCTCTGAGTGCCAAGGGCCTCTTGCCTCACTCGTGCCCTTCCCACCACGGACTATGACTCCTCACTAGGTCAGGGAGAGGACTGAGACTGCCCTGGCCACCTGGTTCCACCGAGGGGTTCTCTGGGAGGTTCCTCAGGGCACAAGTCCTCAAGCACTCCCTCATCATGTTTGTTTTGAGGGGCACCTGGTAGCCATGCACTTGGGGGCCCAAGGGTCTTGGGGCCTTTGGCTGTGGGCTGATGGTAGGCAGTTACCTTCAGAATCCCTCTGCAAAGTGACAGCTGTAATGCAGGCACTCCTCAGTGGCTGTAGAGTTGGCTCCCCAGGGCTTCCTGTGAGCTCCTTGGGAGGTCTTGTCCTCACCCCACAGGCCAGGAGATGCTCCCTCTAGGCCTCAGGGGAAACGACCGTGTCCGGAGCCTGCTGGGTCCTCAAAACAGCCCTGCAGTGGTGTGAGGAGGAGCCCTGGTCCTAACCACATGTGGTCCTGCCTCATGTTCCTGCCCTGCCAGGCTCTGCTGCTTCCTACTGCCCTGGCCTGGGTCCCGAGGGGGACACTTGGGACCCTGTTTACCCACCACTCATCCGCTTCCTCCTCACAGGTATCCGCCCCCAGATCATGAACGGCCCCCTGCACCCCCGCCCCTTGGTGGCACTGCTGGACGGCAGAGACTGCACCGTGGAGATGCCCATCCTGAAGGACCTGGCCACTGTGGCCTTCTGCGATGCACAGTCCACTCAGGAGATCCACGAGAAGGTGGGCCATGCTGGTCCTGCGTCACTGTTGCTCTCAAGTCCCCACTACGGGCATCCCCAACATCCTTTGCCCTCTGCTGTGCCAGGTCACCGGCACACTCCCAAACATTCATGTCTCTAGCTCGTGATTTTGCTAAGGACTGGGACTCTGACCTGTGCTCCGCCTCCCTCTGCAGGTGTTAAATGAGGCCGTGGGCGCCATGATGTACCACACTATCACCCTCACCAGGGAAGACCTGGAGAAGTTCAAGGCCCTGCGGGTGATCGTGCGGATCGGCAGTGGCTATGACAACGTGGACATCAAGGCTGCCGGCGAGCTTGGTGAGTACGTAGCTGGCCAGGGAGCCTCGCCCAGGGTGGCTGGCTTCGAGGGAGTTTCTGATGTGACACCAGGACCCCTACCCCAAGAACGCACTGCAGCCTAAGGTCTGCAGGGACCCAAGACCAAAGGAGCCCATGTACCTCTGGAGAGGAAGGTGTGGAAGGCTCTGGGTCTCAGGTTTCTTCCATCTAGGGATGGAGCACATACTGTGGGAAGCAGGGCCTAGGTCAGTGCCAAAATAGGCAGCCCCTGCCCAGTCCATGACAGCAGAGAACACCAGAAGCAACAGGTGCTACCCAAAGACAGGCCCTCTGAGATGTGGCACCGCTGGGCACACGGGGCCCCATATTGTGAGGCTGCTAAAGGACACTTCCAAATGGCTAGCATTGTAACCACCAACCTGGTCTGACAACCTAGTGGGCCAAGGGCCTGCCACCTAGCCCTCACCTCATCCCTGTTGGCAAGGTACCAGAGGGCCTCTGGTGCTCCAGGATGGCCAGCCATATGTGCACAGTGCCTCTTGGTCGGCGGGGCTCCATGCCTGAGCTGGAGCACCCCACACGACTGACACTTGTGCCCATGCATTTCCACTAGTGAAGCCCTGGTGGGACCCCCTGACTTGCACTGAGAACAGCATCCTGGGCCACAGTGCAGCCTTGGCAGAGGGAGCTAGGCCTGAGTGCTGTGCGGCCCTCGAGGCTGCTCCACAGGCGAGGTCCGAGGAAGAGGCACAAGATGGTCCTTCCCCACATCCTGCCTAGCAGTGGCTCAGCAAAAGGAAAAGGGGCCACCCCAGATTCCAGTTTCCCTCCAGGGTCCTCAGAAGTGGCAGCTTCACACATCTCTGCACCCCTAGCATTTGCCTACAACCACAGCCGCCCCATGAGCCCAGCTTCTGAGCCATCTCTGTGGCGGCACAGAAGCTCAGGAGGATGGGAGGCTCCAGAAATAAGTTTAAAGAAGCCTAACGTCCCTGTTGTGTGCAGAAACCTGCGCTCTCAGCAGGGTGGGCTGGGAGCCCTGGGACCTATAGAACCTAGGGTTTTCTCACCTCTGGGCCTTGCCTTTGTCCTTTTCAGGGATCGCTGTGTGCAACATCCCATCTGCAGCTGTGGAAGAGACGGCCGATTCCACCATCTGCCACATCCTCAACCTATACCGCCGCAACACGTGGCTGTACCAGGCCCTGCGGGAAGGCACGCGGGTACAGAGTGTGGAACAGATCCGCGAGGTGGCCTCAGGAGCGGCACGAATCCGTGGGGAGACACTGGGCCTCATCGGCTTCGGTATGTGCCCAACATGCAGCTGGCTTGCCCCCAAGGAGCCGGGGATGTCCTGTCTCCAAGAGTTCGCGTTCACAATGATAGCCAGGGAGCAGCGTTTGCCAAAGGAGGGCAGGGCCAGTGCCTGGCTACCACCAATTTGCAGGGGGTGAGAGGACTGGGTCAGAAGCAAAACGGGGACCCTCAGAGGTAACATCTGAACTTGTAAGCCAAGGTTTGTGCTGCTGCTCGGGATGACAAAGATAGCATTTTCTACTGTTGGGCTGCAGGACAACTAGGCATCTGAACTTTCCCTGAGGCCAGGGGCAGGGTGGGGAGGATACGCCTGGCACATTTATGGGCAATAAGCAGTTTGGTGGTTGAGTGGTGGCCTGGGCTCTGTGGGTCTTGAATGTTAGACTGAGGTAGCAGCTAGATGTCATTGAAAGATTGAAGCCAGAGGGTGGCGCAGACTATCCATCAGCCTGGAAGCTCCCTTCAGAGGAGCTGGAAGCATCTTCCTAGACCTCACTGCTGTCATGGAGACCAGCAAGCAGCTGCTGGGAGGGTCTCTGGCAGATGTAGTAGGGGGCAGCCAGATGCTATGCTGTTGTCCATTTGGGGGCTAAAATAGGGACACACCCCATCCCAGCTCATGGTGCCTCAGCCGTCCCCCAAATCACAGCCCCAACATGTGCCAGCTCATAACCTTGAGTTTTCCTGACCTGTGAATAGAAATGGGGTGGGATGCACCTCTTGAGGAGGGATAGGGAATGTTCCCCAATCGCTGAGCCTTCAGCTCACGCTCCATGTCTCTAGAGAGTTGGCTTAGTGTCTGACAACCCAAGTGCCCTCTTGCCCCACAAGCCTCTCTGGGGATCTGGTAACTAAATTGAGGCGGAAGTTGCTGGATGCTTTAAGAACCTCATCAGTTCCTAAGCCCCTCCTGTGGCCTGGTGTAGTCTCTGGCAAGGCTGGGACCCCCTTGCTGGGGTCATTTCTTTGGACATGTGCCCTTGTCTTCCCATTTCTAAAGGCCCTGGGAGCCCTCTTAGTATACCAAGGCCACCCTCTTGGCTTCAGCCCTGCTTTCTCCTGACCGTAGGTAGCTACTGCCATCTTCCTGGATCCCACACACAAACTGTCATCGTCTCTCTGTAGCCTTCCAGCAACTAGCGGGGACAGAGGAAGGCACAGTTGTGGGCTGCCCAGTCACTGGTGCAGCCACCTGTGAGGGACCAAAGGACTGAGCCTGGGAGTATCCACAGCAGTCCACAAAGCCCCACTCACGCTGCCGATCAGAGGAGGCCGATGGTGGCTACTCTGGTGGGGGTTCCCTGGAGGCAGCACACATTCACAACAAACTGAAGGAAAAGGCAACTACTGGTAGCATGCTCTAAATTATAAAAAAGGAAAAAAAAAAAAAATTAAACAAGAGGCCCAGGCACTTGGCTTCTTTCCTATAAGGACTAGTTTTGATAATTAGGTCTTTCATCAGAAAATCTCACAGAAAAAGTAGAAGCTGGTGAATCCGTGGGTGTTTGTGAATGTATGAAAAACAAAACTGCTGAGAACTAACACCCAGCCCCCTTCTGTTTAAATGTGGACTTGGCACTTGGGCTGCTTTTCCACCAGCTCCTAGACAGAGCCACAGTCTCAGATCAAAATATGCAGGAGTCAGGAGGGTGGCTAAGGATGGCCATCGTGGGAGAAGGAGATATTATCCTGTTGAACATGGACTCCCACCAACCACACAATGGGGTCACTAACCCCGCGTTTTAAGTGTGGCCAAGAGAGGGTTCTTCTGGCACAGGTGCTACACTTCCCAGTACCTTGGCACAGTCCTGCTCTTCTACCCCAGTCACTGTGTCCACATGGTAACGTGAAGAGGTTATGGCTTGCTAGATTATGTCGCACTGATTACATGCAGCTGTCCATCTTGATCAGAATGACTTTATGAAACTTTTGCCTCCAAACCACGGCCGTGTCCCAGTTAGATGGAGCTGTAGCAAGAGGGAGACTTCTACCAGCAAGTTGTCCCTCAAACACCGGCTTCCTGTTTGGAAATGTAGGTCTTCCCTTGCTTTTTCCCTGCCTGCATATTTGAAAAAAGTGTTTTAAATTTTATCATCACTCTAAGCCCTAAGCATCCCTCATCCCATTTTATTTTCAAGCTGAAAACTGTTCTGGGAAGCAGAAGCTGTGTTGAGGGGTCTACAGGTTTGTCAAATCATGGCCACCAGGGAGCAGGGATACTCTCTTGCCTGTTATGTGACAGTCTCAGACTCCATGCTGGAGCCAGACATGAGGCTCTGCTGCAGGACAGGGCCAGGCCTGGCAGACACACACCCTGCCTCAGAGTGAGTTCAGCCAATTTGTAGGCTCAAGGTGGACAGTAATGGTCAGTTTTGACCCTTGTACTCCTGGTAGAAGCAAATCCAAAGGCAATTAGTCTGGGGAACAAATGTTCCCTGAAAGATATTGAGAGCAATAAAGTAATGATGATAATGAGAAGCCTGCTGTGCCAGTAAGTGGAGAGGTAAACGAAATAGGAGACCTTTAGTGATGGGTGGGTCCTTAGAACATTTAATTGGGTATAGATTTGAAAATGTCCTTTAAAAAATTCCTACTGTGTGGCAAATATAAGCAACAAGCACTATGGCCTTGACCAAGGACACCCATCCCCACTTTGACCCCATTGGCCTCTGGGGCATAATGCTGGCTCAGATACCACTATGTCTTGGGTGCAGTCCTCTTGTCATCTGCTGCTAGTAAGGATGGTGACCTCAGGCTTAAGAAGTAATGAGCAGCGGGTTGGGACAGCACAGAGCAGCACACAGTGCCCCCAGGAGATCTCACTCACCTGGACCTTCTGTCTCTGCACAGGTCGCACGGGGCAGGCGGTTGCTGTTCGAGCCAAGGCCTTTGGATTCAGCGTCATATTTTATGACCCCTACTTGCAGGATGGGATCGAGCGGTCCCTGGGCGTGCAGAGGGTCTACACCCTACAGGACTTGCTGTATCAGAGCGACTGTGTCTCCTTGCACTGCAATCTCAATGAACATAACCACCACCTCATCAATGACTTTACTATAAAGCAGGTAATTTCAAAGCAGACATCCTCAGACCCTGGACACTTCTGTCCAAAGGTAGTGGCACCTCCCTTGGGCAAAGAGGGAATGGGAAATGATTCTTAGACACATGGTGAACCCATGAAGAAGAGTCCCTGGGACAAATCCATGCTTGGGGTGGCGGGAACATGGGGTGGTCCAGAGCTAGCCCAGGGCCCAGCTGGTCCCCCACCACTCTTCAGGCAGGTGAGTAACCACACATCCAACCTCCTGTCAGTATCAACAGAAACTGACCCCTGGCCCTCATCTATCACCAAGACCTCCCATTCCCATCCTTTAGCTGCAGCTCTTATTAAACCCGAATTCTAGAACCTGCAGCAGCAGCGGCAGCAATATATAACTAGCTTCTCTTTGCTCCCACAGATGAGGCAAGGGGCATTCCTTGTTAATGCAGCCCGCGGTGGCCTGGTGGACGAGAAGGCCTTGGCGCAGGCCCTTAAGGAGGGCAGGATACGAGGGGCAGCCCTTGATGTGCATGAATCGGAGCCCTTTAGGTGGGTGTGTGTCCAGCCTGACTCTAACGTCCTGCCAGGAGTGTGGAGGACCCAGACCTGACCCTCTACACTTTAAATCTGAGGCACTTTACTAGGCAAGATTTTTGGGGGTAGGACATTCTGCAGATGAAGATTATAGTCTTTCTTCTGAAGACTGCGATGTTCTTGTTTGTTTAGCCAAAAGATCCCCCAAAGGTCATCAGAGAAGGGAGAGTCGAACACAATATGGTGGTTTGGAGCTGTAGACAGCAGTCACTTCTCTGCGGGCATATTCCTTCTGGTTAGAGGAAGGCAACTCTGAATAGAATTGGCCTTTCTTTTTCTGTCTGATCCTCCTGTTCTTATAGTTAGGGGCTAGGATTCTATAACATTCCCCAATGAAATACAGCACAGAACACACCCACTCCACAGAGCCCCCCAGCTTGTCCATGTGGCCCAGAGTTCCCAGCTGACAAGTACTACGGTCACCAGGTCTTAACTTTTCCCATTTATTGAATGCCTTTGCATTTGTCTAGCTTTGCTCAGGGTCCTTTGAAAGATGCACCAAATCTCATCTGTACCCCCCACACGGCCTGGTATAGTGAACAAGCATCACTTGAGATGAGAGAGGCAGCTGCCACAGAGATCCGCCGAGCAATCACAGGTGAGCCCTCCATACCTCCAAGCCAGCTGCAGCCCAGCTGGTGGAAAGGAGAAAACAGCCACACAGCGGAGCTCCCCAAGGGCTACAGGTGGCTACAGAATGAGTTGTTATAGTCAATAAATTGTGTGTGAATTGGGCTCAAATTCTGAAGTAAATTTCAGAGGAAATCCCTTCCCTCTAGCCTCAGCCACTGTACTTGTTACAAACTGAAGAGGGCGACCCCCAGAGATGGGCGGGAGGTTCATTTTCTTTTCCAGCTGAAGGCTCTCTGCACCATAAGCCTCCAAGTAATATTGAACTCACTGTGACTGCACTCTTTGCACATGAATGATTAATTTTAACCCTCTTATCTCTAGGTCGCATCCCAGAAAGCTTAAGAAACTGTGTCAACAAGGAATTCTTTGTCACATCAGCTCCTTGGTCAGTAATAGACCAGCAAGCAATTCATCCTGAGCTCAATGGTGCCACATACAGGTGAGAAGAGAAACTGAATTTGTCTTGAACTACTAGCATTGTGCCCTTGGGGACAAAAGGAGGCAAGAAAAGCCCAAACTTGCAGTGATTTTGGTAATAAAGAAAAATCAGCCTTTTATTGGGAATTGTGTACATTATCCTCACTTTTGATGCCAAATCCCATAGAATAAACACAACTTGAAGGAAACAGTCACTCAAACTGGTATGACCACCATGCCAGGAATCTCCTTCTCCTGAAGCCACTGTAAAATCTGTTTCTAGAAGAAAGACTGTCAAGGGGAAAGGCCTGTTTATTCTTGCAAAAGAATGTGAAAATCAACTAGGGACAATGGCCTTTTCTACACACACAATCAATAATAGGTGCATGGCTGTAATCCCAGTGACCTGGGACACTGAGGTAGTATCACAAGTTTAAGGTCAGCTTCAGTAACTTTCAAAAATGGCCAGTGATATAGCAAGTCAAGTGTCCCTGGGTCATATCCCCAGAAAGGGGGTAGGGGGAAAATGCACACAGTTTGAATAAACAGTGTGACTACTGGGGGTGGACAGAAATGGGCTCCCTGAAGAGAGCAGTAATGTCCTGTCTTCTGTCCCCTTCCCCACCCTAATTACTGCTGGGTTTCAGCAAAATGAAAGAACACAGGAGGAGCTCCAGCCTTGCTCTAACCTGGGACCTCCCACCCTTGGCAGCACTTGCATTTATGGCCAAATAATTCTCTTGGAGACATTCTGTGCATCCCAAGGTGGTCAGGAGCCTCCCGGGCCTTTACTCAATAACCATCAGGAGCCCCTCCTCTATGAAAGTCTCTCCAGACATTGCTGCTTGTAGCTACTTCCAGGTCACATGGCTCTGTCTCCACTCTGCCTCATAAGCACTTTGAAGTGTCACGTCACCGCTTATGCCCATCTCTGAACCAGAATCAAATTCACTCCTGTTGGTGGCTCACCCTAGGGATTCCTTAGCAGTTTAACTGTGGCAACCAGGGCCTGACAGCTTGGTGAGCGGACACTCGTTCTGAAGCACCTATTTATCCCCTTTAAATATATTGTCACCTTGAGCCTAAGAACTGTGTGTCCTGCCTGCAATGTAACGTGAGCCCATATCTTGGCATGCATAAAATGGCAGGAGTTAGCTAAACAGCAAGTTACCAGTTTGCTGCTGTTGTCCCAGTTCACAAGAGCAGCAACTTGAGAGTATGTGCCACTAATAAAATGACCAGTGGCTTCCAAACCACAAATTTCTCAGTTTTGGAGGCTGTCAGGACAAGGTGCCAGCAAGCTTGGGTTCTGGTGAGAGTTACCAGCTTCTCTCCATGTCCATTCATAAGGGAGCTGACTGGGGTACTTATCTGACTCATGAGAAGTCTTCCCAAAGGTTCTTAAATCCTAATCTCTAATCCTTGGGGATTAGAATTTGAACAGAAGGCTTGGGAAAAGAAACAGTCAATATTAACAGTCACACTTGATTTTTCCGATAGTACTTCACAATCTGTTGGCAAATCACAAAATCAACCCAACTAGTGAACACTTTCCTAAGTCAGCCAGAAAATTCAGAGCCTGTTGGGTCACAGCATGGATAGGTATTTGCCCATAAAAGTCTTTGGCAAAAAGCCACAAAATTAAAGGTCTAATGTTGTGATTATCCCTAGGGGTGGATTGGGGGGAATAGAGGACAACAAATTTCCTGTAATACCTGAAGGGCCAAGAGCTTTTAGGCACTCTGCTCACTCACAAGGCCCCTTTTCCATGTGCTCCTTAGGTATCCGCCGGGCATAGTAGGCGTGGCTCCGGGAGGACTTCCTGCAGCCATGGAAGGGATCATCCCTGGAGGCATCCCAGTGACTCACAACCTCCCCACGGTGGCACACCCTTCCCAAGCTCCCTCTCCCAACCAGCCTACAAAACATGGGGACAATCGAGAGCACCCCAACGAGCAATAGCAGAGAATGCTGAAAGGTAATCATTCAGATAAACTTGGGACCAAGAGACAGTGAAAATGGATGAACTAAGAGAAGGAATTTGACAGTCTTTTTAACTGACCCTGGACATATGCATCGTTGGTGTTGCAGTGTTAAAAGCTACAAGAGCTAGAAAACTGAAGATGTCGTCTGCTTCCGGAAGCGCTGAAAGAATAGGACGTGATTTATTAACGACCAACTTCTGTTATTGTGTGTTAAGTTTTCCATCTGTGCATCAAATCACAAAGAATAAATAGAGCTTTTTCCTTTATCAGTTCCTTGGGCACAGCAGGTCCTGAGCACCTTGCTCTAGAATGTTGCATCAAGAGTTCCAAACATCAAAATAAAAAAATATTAAGAGGAAATCCCCATCTTATGACTCTAGTCCCTTTGGTCTACAGGGGCTTGTTACCTCTTTTTGCTAATAGGAAGACAAAATTGCTACAAAAATGGGGAAAAAACTGTTTGCCTGTGTTAGACACCTGCACGCATAGGATTGAAGACAGTACAGGCTCCTGTACAGAAGTGTCTCCCTCACAGCTGAACTGCATACCGAGCAGGCAAGTTGGTTGTAAGTTCAGTTGTACCCTCTGATGATGCAAAAAAGAAAAAAAAAAGAAAAAAGAAAAAAGTATTAAGTTTCACAAGCTGTTTGTACTCAAATATATTTTCTCAGTTTCAGATCCTCAGCTATTTTATTGAGTGGAAAGTCTTGAACTGCTAAGGGTTCAAGAATAATGTTGCATTTCCTTATGTCTCAGGAAACACTTTTTATGGTAACTTGTCAGATTGTCTATGAACAAACCCACTTTTTTAGACATTGATAAATTCTTTTCTTCACGTGATATTTTATACAAGAACACTTCAGATGTGTTATTAGATGTGACTGATTTTAACAAATCCTATTAGATTTGTATCAACTAGTTACATGTTCTATTCATAGTCTTTTGTGAATCATTGCCTTTTTGTTTAAAAAGATGGCCTATTTTGAGCCTTTGTATAGGTACATTCCTGTTTTTGTGACAAAAGAAAAACTTTAACCTGTCCCAAAAGGAAAAATGGCTATCAGAAGTATGTTTTGTTTTAGTGTGAGTTACCGTTACTGTACTTGTTTATTGTAAAAGGTGGACATTTAGCGTTCAGTGCAGTTTTCAATAAAAAGTAATTAAAATTTCTGCTAAGCTCTGAAATTCAAGTACATCTCACCAATGTAAAAGTTCTCTACTTGAGATGTTTAGAGGTAACTGCATTGTTCGCCAATTCCCAACTCTGTTACTCCAAGGTTCTACCTACCTATTCCATTACCAGATTCAAATGCTGACAATTACCTCATGTTCTACAGCATTTACCCAATAGAGCAAGACCTCACACAAGCCCATCACTGCTAAATCATCTAACCCTTTAAGATGCAACACTGCACTGGAACGAAGTCAATTCCAGAAAAAAGCTGTTGAAGAAATTCAGTCTTAATCGACCCAAAAATAGAACTGGTTCACACATGCCAATGACATAAGAACTGATTTACAAAGAAGTATTACTCTGAGAACCATATAGTTCGTTTAATGGATCTTTCTTTTTAAAAAACTAATATGTTATTTAAAATATGATATGAAGGCCCACAATTCCAAGGTCAAACTCCCTCTGAGCTTTTTCTTATCCTTCTCTTCTGGTTAGAGAACTGTTTTTGCTGTGCTCTGCTCAAACGCAGGGTCTCACAAATGCTAGGTAAGCGCTCTACTACTGAACCATAAGTCACAACCCACAACATCCTGTGGTAAGGCATCACCCTCCCTGGCCTCCTTCTCTTATCACTCAGGTAGGCAACCCCATCCCTACTCTGCTGTGAAACTACCTTAAACTCCCATGGGAGACAGTTACTTGACCTATTGTCTTGGGAAGCTATCTTTATAACCACTTACCAAACAGATGTTGAAATGCACAAAAAGACCCCAACCATTTGTGCACAAAAGTTATTTTACCTTCACATGTTCAGAATGGGATGGGATGAGACTACAAGTCAAATAGAAAAAGGCAGGTGAATCCGTGGTGTGCGTGGGTTTTGTTTAATTAGATTTCAGTTGCTGAGACAGTTCTTTGGAAATTATTATATATATAATTGAATCCAAAGAAGAACAACAAGAATAGAAGACACCATACTGATTTTACCCTAGGAAAAAAAAACCATGAAGTTAAGTCCACACAATTCAGGCATTATTATTCACAGTCAACCTAAAGACATTTATGTCTGTTACCCAGCCATATATAATCTTTGCCACTCTATCTCAGGATAATTATGGCTGTTGAATAGTTCAAGAGCTTAACATAGCATTGATTTACCAAAAAATTTGGCCTTTAACAGCCAGCCAGTCTGTTGTGAAAACCACTTAAAAGCCCCTTTTCCTGTCTGAAACCTAGAAAATGGAACCAGATATAATGCTTTCCCACAGGGAAGAATGTTGTACCCATCAAACTAATCATAAATAAATAAAGAGGGAACTCTGGGGAAAGGATACCTAGCAGCTCAACAATGAGCAATGCAGGCCCCAGAGACCAGATGCTTTCCTAATGCCTCTCTTAGGCACTCTGCCTTCCCAAGTGAGGTGGCCAAACAACTAGAACAGGATCTGTGACCCCTGAAGAATCCTCCTTATCCATGAAGAACAGTTAACTACAGATGCTATTCTAAGCACTCAGAATGATGGCCCCTGCTTCTAAAAACTTGGCTATTACAAAGAAAAAAGGAAACCACAGTCAATTTGTAAGAAGACAGTAACCACTTGGAACAGTACATTCACCATTATTGTAATATACCAAAATTCATTGATATGGAATCATACTACAAACATGACTCTTCCTCGCAGGTTTTAGCATGCAGCAAAAATGATCCCATCATCCTGGGAACACTTTACTGAGTGTTTGGAGAGGAGAAAGAACCAAAGACATGACAGGTCATGGGTATTTTTCTGTTTTTTTAGTATCCCAGCATCAAATTTGAAGATGGGCACATTTCAATACCATCTAAACAGGAAGCAAATATTAAAAGGTTTTCACAGCCTTTTCATCAAAGGAAAGTTAAAACATGTGTCTATGTTATTTGATTCTTTGATGATTCCTTGCCATATCAATAGTTACAAAGTGCTTGTCAGGAAACTAAGTCTGGTGTTCCTGAGATCAGAAATTTTTACCCAGTACTGAATGAATGTATACCTGAAGTGGTCAAATAATACTTTTCATAGAAAGTTTTTCTACACAATAATTTAACTTATTAAATAATAAGAATGGCCACAATTAACCAACATGCAAGAGTTCTTGGACTTACAGAGAATTCATACAATGCACTTACCACCTTATTGCATTTTTTAAAATCTTTATTCTGCACTGAATGGTATTCCCAATCAGTCTAAGCAAAGGCACAGCCTCCTAACAGCATTTGCTTAGAGCAAAGGTGATAACAGGAGATGGGAAGAATCCAAAGGTTCTCTGCATGGCAATTTAGGAGTAGAACAATGTGGATGGAGCTGAAGGGAACAAATTTGACACGATCTACTCAGTGAGAAGTGAGCCTGCTCCCTTCCCTTCCCAACTGCTGCCCAGAGTCTGGGGCAAGAACATTCACTTCAGGGCATTCTTCCAGACAAGTCCACAAGTATCTAAATGCTCAAAGGAGCAAATCATAAAACCCAAAAATGACAAATTTGAAACTAAAAACTCTCCAAGGAAGCTATGAAGTTCACTCAAAGATTATTAGCTTTTCTTGTAGTTTGTTCCTAAAAGGTTTGATTTTATTGGGCACAACAGGAACTAAATAAATAAAATATAAGCTTATTTATTATGTTTTGCTGTGGACAATTTGTACAAAGTTTCCAGATCTCAGACTAAATGTAAAATGGATCTTTGCCAGGTTCTAATGAAGAGAACATCTCAAAGGAATAAGAGTGGTCTGCCATGTGCTTTTTTGTAAGTGCCCATGCTGGAAAAAAGTTTTCTCAATATGAAGATGCTGGTACAACTTTTCCTATTACACAATTTCTTACACAACCACATGCATTACATTTATAGACAGATTTACAATTTGAAAGAAAAAAGTTCTGTCTTAATAAAATTAGTTTTTTTGTTTTTTGTTTTATACAAACTGTAGTTCAACCAGTTCTCTTTGTCTCCTCATGCAGCAGATGCATTAATTATCTCCACTGGGTGTGGATCAGAAAAATACTTCTGAGCAGATTTGGTTCATTTCATGCTATACACTCTGCTTGGAGCACCAAGCTAACTTGGGGGTCATCACAGATTCTTCTGTTCCATAAGTTTTTCTTCATTCATCTTCATCATCTTCATCTTCCTCTCCATCAGATAGGGATGTACAAGGCCGGATCTGCCGGTAGCGGTCAAGCCATTTTTCTACCATCTGTGTGACCAGGGGGTGATTCCGCCGGCGAGAGCTTTTCTGCATAGCTACCAGAACTCCCCCTTCAGTCACACAGCAGTCCAGCCACTCCCTGAGCAGTTTTTCTTGCTGTTCCTCATTACCTAGCTTTTAGAGGAATGTGAAGAAAATGGGAAAATACAACATCAGAGATTTGACAGCAACCTACAGCTGGTAAGACAATTAGGCCAAAACAACAAACTTTTAACATGTTTTCAACCTCATAAAACTAAGTCTAATTAAATTTAACATATGTCAGTGGGGAAATAATCAGAAAAGGCCAGAGGGAAAAACATCCCAAAAGATCATTTGTTTCACAGGATAGCAAAAGGCAAACAAATCACCAAAAAAGTCACAGCTTCAAACACCTAACAAGGTAAGTTTACTTAGTAAATTATGAACAGGCTTAAATTGCACATTGTGGTCTTTCTTGTATTTAAATTTTTCCCTTCAATGTTGTGATTATGAACATTCTATGATCGTTACTAGTTCACTGAATAAAAGACCAATAATTTTACAAGAATACGAGTTTTCTGAGAGAGTGTTCTTTTGTACTTTCTCACCACCTCCCCTGCTCAATCTACATGTGCTTGCTTGTGCCTATATCCATAAGGCACTGTGCCCCAGGCATCTAGCCTTGGCTAATCAGTGTTCCTCTTCTGGGCACACTGGCTGCTGGCTTCCCATCTCACCCTTATCACCTCATCTTGTCGCCTATCCTCTTTCCTCCTTACCCTCTTCCCCTTAATGTAACTGGCCCTGCGATTCCTAGAATTCTATTCCTCCAAACTTGAAGATTCACTTCACCCATGACCCTATTGACTCACAAATCCCTCAGTCTTGCTTTTTCAAATTCCTCACTATGCTCCCACAAAGGAGTTTTGAAATGATAATTTCAACATCTGACCAACTAGTATTTACAGAAAGCTGCAATCATTACAACCACATTCAGAAATGTATCTGGCAGTACAGATAAAACCACACCTGAAAGGCACCAGAGATTGGATTCTGCTACAAACAGAAGAAACATGCTGCTTACCTCCTGTGCAGAAAGAAAATGCACATGGAGTAGCTTTCTTTCACTGTCAACCAGAGGCAAAAACGTGATGGTGACATCATCATCGGTGTTCAAGTTAGCACCAGCACCTCGGTTGCCATAGCCATCGTTTTCCATGGCAACCAAAGCAGAGAAGTGGCCCCTCGTGTACCCCAGAGCAATAGGACTTTTCCAACAAAAACTCTGTTCCCACAACAAAGGCAGATAGACTCCTGGGAAAAGGCAAAAGAAAATCACAAGGGTGAATACCTCTCATTTCCTATGGCCACTGTTCTTGCTGGTAGCCAAGAGTCACTCTGACCACCTCCCCCATGACTACTTAAGGATATGGTGCAAATTACATTATCATAGTAAAAAAAAAAAAAAAAACTTATGAAATGCTCTAGAATAATGGCTTACCTTGAAACCGAGTATATCCTAAAGTTTCTCCCCGGAAACTCTTATAATATTTTACTCCATAAACTATAATTGGTCGTCTAAGAATATGGGCAAGGACAAAAATGTGTGTCTGTTCCAAACTTGCTCCAGGCTGTACAGAACAACAAAAAAGGCATGTTTTCTTTAAAACATTACCAATCCTGGAAAAGTGATATATAAAAAGCAACACTATCTTCACAGTATGACTTTCAGTCCATTTTTAAGAAAAACAATATTGGCAAGTCAAAGCAAAAAAAAACCTTAATAAATATAGGTATTATTCA